GCCGTCACACATATAGCAAGTTATGCAAAAGAAATGAAAGTTTAATTATAATATCGGCATTCATGTAAAGCCATTCCATGCGTCATTCCATCTAGATCGGGCGCAAACGGTTTCTGACGGACGCAAGCCAAGTTGAGTCCGTCTTGAATGCAATTCATAGAAGCCAACTCTAATGTCATAATGCTTGCACATGACAGCAGCTCTCCATGATCGACTCCGTTTCCAAGCACACGGAGCGGGGACGAAAGAGAAAGGGGATTTAACCATGGGACACTTAAGTTTTCTAAGCGAATAAGAACAACACAGTGGTCAATTCCAATAGAGTTTTAAGTTTTCTCTTTTAATAGAAACCTGCATCCAAACACAAGCTTAATTATCTACATCCTTTCTTGGTCGAGTATTGTGAAACTTTAGACAATCTATGTAGGCAATCCCTTTCTAGTGGCGGTGCAACATCTAGAACAGAACCACTCTTTTCAGGTATCTGTTTTACAGCTGCATGGTGTTAAACACTTCATACGCTAGCCCTCGACACACTTATTACATAAAATCATCTTATCGTGTTGGTCACCCCTGTGTTATGGCACAATTGGCACTCTTGGTCCAGATCATCCCGTACCAACTGAGGATTTCGCCACGAAATCTATATGTTAGCATTATAACAAGGAGCACCATAGGTAGCTTGTGCACGTATCCTTTTGCCACGGTCGCGACTTGCACCACTCAATGTTCTCAAGCGCATCCCAATGGATCCTGTAAACCCACTTTATAGGAACCAGCTTCGCCCTCTTCGCTTGCTAACAAGCTCCCACGTCCTCTTCCCCAACAAAAACCGTATTTTTCATCCATGGACTTCGTTCGTTTCTCCTTCTGGGTTCTATAATACCTACCTTAGCAGCTTCGAATGCTTCCTCCTCTCAAGTGGGATGCTTCCACAGTTCCGCCGCTGACTTCGAGCAGGAGCCGGGCCTGGGCGCCCGCCTTGCAGCTCTTGCCTAAGCTGTATCTTCCTTGCATTGGATTTTCTCTTGTAAATCGTCTCAAGGATATTTCAAGCCTTCTTGGCGGTCTGCACGCCTCAATCGTCCCCGAATAATAGTCCTCAACACCAACCCAATGATGGACAACGCTTTCGTTGATTGAAATGCGTGCCCCTCTCGATCCGTCACTCCGTCCCATAGATCCTTGAACGTCAACCAAAACTTGATCTCGCGACTTCACCTCATATAGTTGTCTACACCAAGCTTGTCTTTGTGGCCTTTGAACCCGTCAGCCATTTTAAAATTTCCTCACGCTTTTTCTCTTTCTCAAAATCAAAGGTGGAAAACTTCCTTTCAGGCTTTCCCTGCCACCTGATCCCGTTATAAGGGATCTCAAATGTCACTTGGCTCAAAGGGCACCCGTGATAAAACCAACCGCCTCCGCCGATGCCTTTATTGATAAAAAAGAACCAGAGGGTACTTTGCACCGCGTTCTGCCGCTTCTCCTTAGGACGGAACGTGGTATCCTTCCTTGGGGATTTCGCGTGTTGCCTAGTCAATGCAAATAAGTGAAAGAGACCGCTTTTTACAAAAGTCGTCACGACACGGAGAGCACCCTTGGTTGATCCTTCCTCCCTAGCGCCGTAGGCCCATAACCAGTTGAAATACAGCGTTGTTGAAAGTGATATTTAAACAATCAACTTCACACAATGTATAGGAGTGTTCCGAGTCCACAACCTATCCCTTGGTCTACACTCTAGCCTAGTGAGCTCAGTGGATCGTCACCCGATAAATCCGAATGTTTTACTCTATACCGTACATCAACAGCTATTATCCAATCTACACAATAACGACGGTCATCGCCAAGTCATTCGAATGTAACGTTGTAATCCCCAGGCATTTAATCGTGTAACCGTAATTACAAATAATCGTCGACCTACCGCCCACCTCGTGATCCTGAAACTCTAAAACCATCCAGAGATTTGGACCCTGAATGCCCGTGTCTCAACAAAAACGAGGAAGACACCCGAAATAGCCAACGCGACCTCCATCATCAAAAGTGCACGGCAACACCTAGTGGCATCGGCCAGGTGCAGCGCCTCCGAAATCGTCATGCTTTTGTGGCGCCGGCTGCAATGGAGAGCTTTGCGGGGAGCGCATTGGTGGCAACGGCCGTCTCTTGCTGCTACCGTGGGAGGACGAGCCGTACCATCAAGTCGTCAACCTCGCTTGGAGGAGCAAGAGAATCCTCTGAACTTGGAGAAGGCCCGGGGGGTGGCCATTGACACGCCTGCGGCCGGTGAGGCAAGGGCGGATCGGGTCTTGGCTAGACTTCAAGACGATTTTCACGCCTATGCCAAGGGTCTTGGGGGGCTATTGGAAGTGGGATATTTGACGCTCTTGGAGCAGGGGGCATATCTGTGGAGAAG